GGTGTCATCCCCCGATTTTTTTCAAATGGAAAAGGGGTTCAAGTGATACCGCAATGAAAAGGGCTTTCTATTCTCTATACTTTCCTGCTTCGTTTTTGAAGATCGGTCGAGTCGTTGGGAAAATATAAAGGATTGAAATTTGATAAGCTTATTTAAACATTTATCAGAGTAAATGATAAGGATAATTTGCTGTTTTTTCTTATTATTTCTAGATGTTTGCAATCGGGTTGCGCAGATATTCAATGAACGCCATCCTGACAAACACCTTTATGGCAAAATTGTTCGCCAGTTACTAGCAAAATTTCGCGAAACTGGTTCCGTTATGAATAAAAAGAGGCAGAGGGAAAATCCTGTAGTAAATGAAGCTATGGAGGTATTCGTATTGGGCCAAGTTGCCATGGACAGTATTCTGAGTACAAGAAAATTAGCCAATGAGACCTGCGGGAATCGTACAAGTTTCCAAAGGATATTAAAAAAACACAAGTTCCACCCGTACAAAATTCAGTTGGTACAAGAACTCAACGAAGACGTTTTTGATCGTTGCTTGCAATTTTGTGAAGCTATGAGTGAACGAGTGGTGAATGATAATAATTTCCTATTTAACGTGTGTTTTTCGGATGAGTGTACTTTCTTTTTGAACGGTGTAGTTAATCGGACAACTCTCGGTACTGGGCTGAGGACAACCCCAGGGTTTTTCACGAGGTGCACACACACAAAACCCTCAGAAATTGAATGTGTGAGCTGGTATTTTTGGAAATTCTATTGTAGGTCAGTTTAACGATATTGAGAAGAACTTCAACGTACAAGTCACAGAACAGCTATCTAGCAACTACCGCACCTGATCGTTCAACGTTGTGGCAAGTGAAAAAATGCGTAAACATCTTGTTTAGGAAACTCTCAAAATATATTTAATTTTATCTTTTTTAATTTTAAATTCAATATTAATTTATTCTATTATTTATTGTATACGCATATGTGGTACTAGGGAGGTTATTCCAAAGGGCTGAAACACGCCTGCGTCAATTAACCTTGGACCACAATACACTTGATCGAAAGATCCCGCAAGAACCGCATCTATCGAAAGATCGATTCAACGTGCTAACCGCCGCCGCCGCCCATAACTTTATTTTAAATCTTCAAAAGGTCCTACCAATTCGGTACCGTTTACTCGTGCGAGTAGTTGTTCCTGATTCAGATACAGGGTGGCCACCCAGGAGAAGACTACAACCCTCCAAGGTAAGCCGACCTCGTACCCCGTGTTTTATTTTAGCAGGAATTTCTATTTTCTCGAGTATATTACAATCATTTCTTTATTTCCTTTCTAAACACATCTAGAAATAATAAGAAAAAACAGCAAATTGGTCGAATTTATCCTTAATTATCATTTACTCTGATAAATGCTTAAATGAACTTTTCAAATTTCAATCCTTCATATTTTCTCAATGACTTGACCGATTTTCAAAAACGAAACGGGGAAATATACAGAATAGAAAGCTCTTTTCATTGCGGCGCCACTTGACTCCCCTTTCCATTTGAAAAAAGTTGGGGGATGACACCCCCGCTTAGAGGGTTGAATATTTTGCAATCGTTTTTGGGGCAAAAGTTGTCCCCCTCACAAACAAAATTGACGTGTTTTTGGATTTTTTGAAAACATAAATACCCTGGCCGTTATGCCTTGCGGAACGTTTTCGATGGGCCACCCTGTATATACAATGTCGCTGTTATGTATGGAAGGTCGATTAAATGTTAAATATTAAAGTTATAGGGTTTATAAATATCTATCAGCGGGTAATAAATTTAAGTATACAGGGTCGGTCGTAAAGTCGTGGTACATCAAAGTTTCTTTTTTTTAAACGGAACCCCCTCTATATCATTGCATATTTCGGTTCTACCTTCAATTCTAAGCCAAAATCGAAATACACACAATGTACCTCATACTAACCGTTTCCGAGTTTATTCACTTTTGAAAATATCAATTAAACAATTTGATTTAATTAATTTCGATATGTTCAGTTTCTTTTAACGATGCCATTTTGCTGAAACTGTAATACTTAATAACTTTGACATTAGTTCTCAAGTTAGAATTTATAGATGTAGTATAGCAAATCTGGAAATTAAAAATTTTCGTTTAACATTGTGCAGAAATGCAGTTGTGGACTGTATTAATTTTAAATTTTAGTTTGACTGGTCTTATTTTATCAATGTAAATTACGTTAATAGCTGGGAGAAACCGCACAGAGAAATGAGAAACCTGCTCCTACCTTTAATGTTCGTCTCAGACAGCTTCAGAGGGCCCTCTTCTCGATCTTGATCTTCTCAGCGCTAATTTTCACACATACACTAACATGAATCGTCTTTGAAGGGATGTAACTTTTAAGTTCAGACTTTCGGCGCGTACCGGTTAGCTGACCAATTTCGTCGTACGACGGTTTGTAATAGACTGTGTGCCACACTTCCTAGTGTTCGGGCATGCGTACACTAATGTTGCAGGAAGCAGGTATAAGTGCGTTTTAATTTAAAATTTAAAGAAATTAAAATATTAATTATTAATTAATCTTAATCTAAGAAATTACATAAAAGAAAATAATTTTATATAAAATATTAAGTTTCCTTAACATTCCACCCACCAAAACATATGTTTTTAAAAATAAGATAAAGGAAAAAAATAATGCAAAGTTAAGAATAAAAAATGTATAAAGAATTATTTTACCTTATTAGTTGCCAGGTAAAGGGCAACTCGTCTTGGTAATATCCCATGTGCAGTTTTAAGTGTATTAAGTGTTCAATTCTTAAATTTATGTACAGGGTGGGTCAAATTCGACGCTTTTAAATGGAAACACCCTTTTCTATAGGAGATAGACAAAAATAATATCGGTGTCTGGAGTTCAATTTTGTCAAAAACATGATGGTGAAAACCGCATATATATATATATATATATATATATATATATATATATATATATATATATATATATATATATATATATATATATATATATATATATATATATATATATATATCGATATCTGTTACAGTTTCGGAGTTACGAGGTCTTTTTCAAAAATTTGCATTTTTAACAAATCGCTGTAACTTTTTTCCTATTGCAAATTTTCTATTTTTATGAAAACATTTCCAAAGCACCTTTTTACAAAGAATTTAATGGTTTAAGTATAATTTTTTTACAATTAATAATTTAAGAATTATCAACAGAAAATTTGATTTTTTATATCGGATACCCTGTATATTTTTAATTTATTTCAAGAATAAAAGAATTTAAAATTACCTTTCCAAAAATATAACACACTTGATATTTTGCTCGATTCCTCTTCGAGATATAGAGTATATAAAAATTCGCCCGCTTTAAATTAGTAGGCTTTGAACGGCACCGGCTGTAATGCAAAAAAAAAAATAGCTGTGAGCATTAATTAAAAAGAAAATAATATGTCCTATGAGAGATGCAGAATTTTATAACAATTTAAAATATATTTAACTAACATCAACACATTTAAACTATGTATATCTGATAACAATAAAAATAAATAGCAAACCAAGACATGAGATTTTGCTACAGGTGTTCGACATATCGACCGTCTTCTGTTATGGACAGACGGAGCAGTTTTTAAACATTTCTCGCGGAATTCATTAACTCATTGGGGGTGAAACGTACCCTCTCATAACTGCTACGTATTTCTAATTCTTGTCTAGATTGTACGGAAGAATAAGGGACCTTTATTCTTCCGCAAATATATCCATAGGGTTAGATCCAAGGGCACTAAGTCAGGCGGCTTCGACGGCCAACGGCTGGGATCTTGGTTAGCTGTTCAATAATTCTTGAAATTGGCTGCAAAAATTGGCTGATAACTTCAGCGTTCAGAGGCGGTGCGTCGTCTTGCTGGAAAAATGTTTTCGTTTCCATTAAGGGCATATCATCAATAAGGGGTCCAAAGCCTACTAGTTAAAAGAGGCAAACTTTTAAAAATTCTGTATTTCGCAGGGGATTATAACAAAACATCAAGTGTGCTATGTTTTTGAAAAGGTAATTTTAAATTATTTTCAGGTAATTAAAAATATAGAGGGTGTCCCAAATAAAAAATCAATTTTTCTGTTGATAACTCTTAAATTATTAATTTAAAAAAAATTATACTTAAACCATTAAATTCTACGTAAAAAGGTGCTTTGGAAATGTAATCATAGAAATACAAAATTTTCCTTAGCAAAAAAGTTACAGCGATTTGTTAAAAATGCACATTTTTGAAAAACACCCCGTAACTCCGAAACGGTAACAGATATTGATGTGCGGTTTTCACCATCATGTTTTTTATAAAAATTGAGCTCCAGACACCGATATTAGTTTTCGTCTATCTCCTATAGAAAAGGGTGTTTCCATTTAAAAGCATCGAATTTGACCCACCCTGTACATTGTGTATTATGATTACTGTTTAAAATTGAAGGAAGAATTGAAATATGCAATAATATACAGGAAGTTTTATTTAAAAAAAAAAATTGATATGACACAACTTTATGACCGACCCTGTATACTTAAATTTACTAGTAGCTAATAGGTATTTAAAACCCCATTATAACAGTATCACAGTTTCTGCAGAATGACATCATTAAATCAAACCAAACACATCGAAATTAATTAAATTGATTAAGTGATATTTTCAAAAGTCAATAACTCGGAAACGGTTGCTTTGAGGTACATCCTGTGTATTTCGATTTTTGCTTTGAATTGAAGTAGGAATTGAAATATGTAATAATATACAGGGGGCTCTATTTAAAAAATAAAACTTTGATGTGCCACGACTTTATGAACGACTCTGTATACTTAAATTTATTACTCGCTAATAGATATCTAAAAATCCTATAACTTTTGTATTTAACTTTTTACGGTACCTCGTTATAAGCGACCCTGTATAAAAGAATTCATAGAATAAGATACAAGTTGATATTCTGTAAGGTTTACGAAAAATACTCCCACCATATAAATACTACCCACCTGTAATTTGGAGCAAATGGCGTGTCCTTAATAGCAACGTTGTCGTGGCTATATTTCGTCTGCCTTATCCAGTAATATGACAGGATATCCGACGAACTCTGTGGCGAAAACCTGCACTCCAAGGTGACATCCTCCCCCTCCCTTGCGTCCTTGACAATATCCTCAGATCCCACCAAACATATTCCTGCAAAAAAGGAAACCACAAAATTAGAAAAAATATCCTAAACGAGCAGCATAAAATATAAAATACAAGACGATTTTCCTTTGCAAAAAACATTTTTGCTAAAGGAAAATCGCTTGTAACATTTTCCTAATACTCAAACGCGTATAATAATTGGGTATGGGAAAAAATGAAAGGAACTCGGTCAAGGGATGACTTCTAAACGAATCAATTACTGATTTTTTTCTGGGCTGTTTCCCTTTTCGTTTTTGAGGGGTTTTTCCTCAACAAGAAAAAGAAACGACGTTAAAGAAATAAGCTACTGGAAGTTTATTTTTCTTTGAAATTGTTTAAATGTATAGGTTATTGAGTCTTTGACAAGGGTTTGGGATGTAAATTTTTGTGGTAAGTACCTAAAAGAAAGTCGTAATATTTAATTTATTTATGAAAAAATATACTTAATACCATAAAATTTAGATGAAAATACCGTTGATCGAAATCAGATCGGCGTCAGGGATGGCTTGCAAAGAAAGACGGCGATTATTTTGTGTAGAAAATTAGACGGAGAATGGCAAACATCGTCATTTGAAAGCGAAACGGATGTCTTTTTTTCCGAACATACTTTTAAAGTTAAAATTAAAACATATCCTGTAATTATTTTAAGAGATTTTAACTTCTATAAACTGTCTCTGATACTGGTTTTTGCCAAAGTCCCGATGCTGTATGATGAGTTATATCTCAAGAAAAGGGGACACAAAAGATCTATAATGTGGCGGTGGTTAACTTCCTATACCTCCCATATAATCTACAATCTGTATTTGAGTGAGTTTTTATTGATTCATGAAAATTAAACAATAATAAACAAACGTTTAGATAATCTAAAGCATCGTTTATCAATCAACTAATCGTAACCAATTTTCCGTCTGTCCCATTTCCCGAATAACCAACATCTTTTCACGAAAATTAGACTCAGTCTGCTCTCGAGCAGGATCAAAAGGAATGCTTTTTTTTCTTTTTCCATCCATTTGGCTAGAAAATCGTTCGTCCCTTTTTACGCTTTCGAGAGGAAGAAAGAGGTAAAATAAAGGAAATAGGATGCGCTCCATTTAAGAATGCTTATGCTGTTGCTTTGCAGCGTAAGCTCGGACGGGGACGGAAAACGGCGATGTCAAAGGAAAACGGCAGAGAAAAAAAGCCGTCGAAAAGTTTTTGCTTCTTTTCCGGGTTTTATTCGAAGGTTTCTAAATGCATATTTGTCGAACAGATCTTTGTTAAGATTTTTTTGAATTACTTCCATTTTAATTTATTAGATTTTTTGGAAACTCTATTTTATTAAAATTGAAGGAAACTTGAACTTGGACAACGGTCACGAAATTAAGCAGTGTCCTTTGTATACTTTCAGCAGTGTCCTTGCAGAGTATGAGTACCTGGGAATTACATTTGATAACACTGGAACTGACGGCAGAGAAATAGAGAAAAGGATTATCAACGCGAAAAAAATAATCGGATGTCTAAATGGAATCTTATGGAGCAAATCAATAACAAAGCGAAGAAAATTCAATATATATGAAACCATGATAAAGAGCAACCTCCTGTATGGACAGAAACATGGAGAATAACTGAGAGATACAAGAAGGGGATAGAGGCCGTAGAAATGGATGTCATTCGAAGATCAATGGGAATTTCAAGACAACAACGAATAAGAAATAATACCATAAAACAACAAATGGGTATAGAAGGTACGATAACACAGGATATAGAGAAAAAGCAGCTGATCTGGTACGGACATGTAGAGCGAATGAAGGACACTAGATGGCCCAAGAAAATAATCAATTGGCAACCAAAGGGCAGAAGAAAACAGGGAAGACCAAAACTGGAATAGCAAAAAAGCGTACACAAAGCGATGAGTGAAAGAAACCTATCAACAGAGGATTGCACGAATAGAACAGGCTGGAAATTGGGTATCGGACAACGTAGAAAAACGTTCTAAACCGACTAATATATATGAAAAAAACAGGATAGATGCGGGTCAGACTCGCCCACCGAGGGGGCAAATTAATATACAGGGTGGTCCGAACTGTATTCTGGAAACGTTGGATAGCTACGTTAAAATGGGATAATTATAGTAAAAATATTATTTTTATGATTTAGTTAGAGACATGTGCCAGATGGCAGTAAAAGAAAACAAAACAAAAGTATTTAAGTGGGGAGGATGTTTGAAGATCATAATTATTGAAACACTTTAACCAACTCTGTAACTCGTTACCCAAGGCAAAAAATTTAAACGCAAACAACTTTATTGATAAATGTATTGTTTCTGCTTTGAAAAATACTAATGGGCCTTAAAATTAAAGAAGTTTTAAAAAATTTCTTGAAAATTTTTTTTTTAGTAAAATGAGAATAATTTATTCGCAGTCCAAAAAAAAATTGTTTCCGCGTGTTGTTTAGGATCAAATATTTCAAGTTAATGTATTCAAAAAGCAGGAATTGCTATTTTAGGAACAAAACATTTTCTTATTTAACAACATGTCGGCTTTCACTTTGATGTTTTAGAGATTAACATGGAGTAGTTCGAGTAGTCGCATACTGGACTAATAAAGTCGCAGTTCAGCCTTAACAGGTAGTATACTAGTCGCAAGATTGCCTAATTTAGTCATCCTAGAGTCTAGCTTGTGCCGCCCCCTATATTCTAAATAAACGAGGGAGTGGATAAAGTATCGGTAATATGTCAATATATATTTAAATTTAGTTTTATATGTGCCTTTCTTACGTCCCATTTTAATTAAGTTTTTTTTTGATAAAAACAAAAACAGCACTGAACTGTCTGACTGAACAGAACAATGAAGTGAATATTTAAGATTTAAGGTTATGGTTCAATACAGTTGCAAAAAGGTAGTGGCTCGACGTCCTACCAACGTAATAATAAGAAAATCTAAACAACGTTGGAATTAGTAAAACAGACGACGTCTGTGCAACGTTGGAATAGGTCCTGAAAGTGACGTCGGAAAACTCTTTATTGCCTAACATTGTAACTACGTTGTCCGAATCACCTAAAGATCACTTAAGCAAAAAAGGTTACAAGACAACGTTTATTCGACGTTGCAGAAGCTTTTACTTTGTTGTAGTACTAGTTCAACGTCGGCACAACGTTACAACAACGTTTACATTTATTTTAATACCCAAGGTACGGAGCTAACTATTTTTTGTAACTAATCCAACGTTGTGTTTAGTAAACATATGGTCGCAAGTCGTGAAAATGCTACTTGGGTTTGTTTTAAGGGAAAAGAAAATGAATAAAAAAAATAGTTCTCAAAGATGTCAGGAAGTAGGTCACGATATACATAAAGTCACTCCTCTACGCTGTCGTATATAAGTCTTCGCAGTCTTATTCCTGCAGCATATTTTAAAGAAAGAAAATCTATAATATCCCTATATTTCAGATCGCGGCAATGTCGGTGAGCGAAATGACAAATGACAGTCCCCAGCGCATTAAACGACATCGAAGGCGCAATACATAAAAGAAAACAGAAGACGGAATGCGAATAAATAATATGCGGAAAATAAAAAAGAAATAAATAAAATATGGAGGAGTGGTAGCATCAGGAGAAAATAGAAAAATCACATATTGTCAGCGTCAATTTTGTGGTTGTAAGAAGTGTGTCGTCAAGTCAAAAACGATTCTCATATAATAATAAAATGTATCTGGATTTTTCTGATGCATATTTTTTTGGTTTCTCAAAGAAATGTTTCCATTCAACATTGAGTATAAAATTTCTGATAATTATTTTGTCATTACTGATGAAATTTATCATTAATTATACGATTTTTCACATATTCTTTCTGATTGATGTACAGGGTGGGTCAAATTCGACGCTTTTAAATGGAAACACCCTTTTCTATAGGAGATAGACAAAAACTAATATCGGTGTCTGGAGCTCAATTTTTGTCAAAAACATGATGGTAAAAACCGCATATCTATATCTGTTACCGTTTCGGAGTTACGGGGTGTTTTTCAAAAATATGCATTTTTAACAAATGGCTGTAATTTTTTTGCTATGGAAAATTTTGTATTTTTATGAAATCATTTTCAAAGCACCTTTTTACGTAGAATTTAATGGTTTAAGTATATTTTTTTTAAATTAATAATTTAAGAATTATTAACAGAAAATTTGATTTGTTTATATGGGACACCCTGTATATTTTTAATTTATTGAGAAGAATTTAAAATTTCCTTTCCAAAAATATAACACACTTGATAATTTGCTCGATTCCTCTTCGAGATATAGAGTATTTAAAAATTCGCCCGCTTTAAATAAGTAGGCTTTGAACGGCACCGGCTGTAATGCAAAAAAAAATCTAGCTGTGAGCATCAATTAAAACGATATTTTTTGCTATGAGAGATGCAGAATTTTATTACAATTTAAAATATATTTAACGAACATCAACAAATTTAAACTATATCTAATAACAATAAAAATAAATAGCAAACCAAGACATGAGATTTTGCTACAGGTGTTCAACATATCGACCGTCTACTGTTATGGACAGACGGGGCAGCTTTTGAACATTTCTCGCGGAATTCATTAACTCAGTGGGGGTAAAAGATACCCTCTCATAACTGCTAAGTATTTCTAATTTTTGTCTAGATTATACGGAAGAATAAGGAACCTTTATTCTTCCGCAAATATATCCATCCATAGGATTAGATCCATAGGCACTAAGACAGGCGGCCTCGACGGCCAACGGCTGGGATCTTGGTTAGCTATTCAATTATTCTTGAAATTGGCTGCAAAAATTTGCTGATAACTTCAGCGTTCAGAGGCGGTCCGTTGTTTTGCTCAAAAAAATATGTTTTCGAGTTCCATTAAGGGCATATCATCAATAAGGAGTCCAAAGCCTACTAGTTAAAAGTGGCGGACTTTTAAGAATTCTGTATTTCGAAGGGGATTATAACAAAATATCAAGTGTGCTATATTTTTGGAAAGGCAATTTTAAATTCTTTTCAGTTAATTAAAAATATAGAG